AACCCTTAGTAACTTTTTTCTCACAACCAAAGCCTATCACAGTAATGGGTTGGCAAACCATCCAGGACTCTAGCATACCTGCCTTTGCAAAGGTGTCAATGGTAGACCGTACGTACCCATTCCCTCATAACCGTTCTTTCTTTGTCACAGCTTATATAAATGATATGGAGTTCAAGCATGACTTCCTTGATAGAGGGGCATCGAGACACTTACTCCTTGGCCTCAGCAACTTTAGCGTAATACACTTCAAAGACACTAATGAGGGCCTTTGTTGCCTCTATCATGGCGACTTGGGTTAGTCCCAATTGGTCAAAGAAGGTACGAAACTTGATAGAGTTTTGCAAACCATGGGCACGTGTATCCTCTACGAGTATTCTCTCCGCAAGTATTGCTTCAGGAAGTTGGCCCGCTGCTATTTCAACCAACTCATCATAGTAGGATGCTATGTGCACTTGATTGCATACAAGCCCAAGATACCCAATCATATATACGTTCTTCCTTCTCTTCTTGTGGTTAGGATAAGGAACCTTCTTTACGCCACGATTGCCCGCATCTTTTAACTTCAACTCGTTCGTAGCAATTTTCTTTTTGAAGATACTTTTCAAGGTCCAACAGTCCCTAGTAGGGCATTTGGTGGCTCAGTCACAGATGCAATAATCTAGGCTCTCTTTGTCCTTGTTAGTTGGGGAAATATCAATCGGTGGTAAGGTGAGTTCTCCATCGACTACCCACTCTTTAGCCAAGGCTTTGACATTCTTCAGACTATAAGGATAAGGATTTTTGTCCTCATAACTCTTTCTTTTCCGAGAGGATGACGTCTCTCCTTGCAAACGACTCCCTCTTTGGGAGGTCACTACAGTAACTTAACTCCTGCGCGAGTACCGATAACTTTCACGAGACCTAGACAAGGGGCTCATGATGCTGAGGTTTTGAACTGCTTCAATCAAGGCTGAAAAGATAGGCAAATTATGGTTTACCAAAAAGAGTTTGTACTCGTGTATTGTACCCTCCACACATATGCTGACTAAGTGAGCCTCATCCACTGATTCGTGGCAGTCAATGGCTTTGTCCTGGAACCGTTTGACATAGTCCAATATATCCTCGCTTTCTTTCTGGGTGTCTCGCCCAAGTGTGAGGATTGTGCCCTTCTCTTGGACTTGGAAGAACTTTGTGTGAAACTTTTTCGCCATTTCTTCCCAACTCTTGATTGAGTTAGGCGCCAAGTTAACGTACTAGCTATAGGTCTTTTGAGTGAGTGCTTTGGAAAACTCCCAAAGGCGCAAAGAGTGGTCAGTACCATGGATGCCAAGGGTTTCCATAAACTGCACCACATGCTCTCTTGCATTGCCTTGCTTCCCATTGAACTTTACAAACTTAGGCACTGTATACCCCACTCGATAAGGCATGACTAGTATCTCATGGGGGTATGGGGGCTTAACATCTGAATCTCGGAGTGATGGCGGCTGCTTCTTACTACGCTTATGTTCAAGCATGGCTTGGACATCGGCCATGGTGACAAAATGAGTCGAATGGTTAAATTAATCTTTTAATTTATTTTCAATCTAAATTATTCAATTATTTTCTTTAAGTAAAATCGACGAAAAAAATAATATTTTAACCATTAAACTCAATATACATAAATTGTTATAATTTCTATTTTTATTTTTATTGAGTTTAATGAGTAAAACACACATTTTTTTTTCATCGATTTTACAAAACATAAATAGGCAAATGGTTTAAATTGAAAACAAATCAAAAGTTTATGGTTTAAATTAATAAATTAAAGGATTGTTTTGTTATAAGGATCAAACTTTGAGAGTTTTTTTTTTTTTAAATTTTTTCTTAGCATAAAAGTAGTGAAAATTATAGAAATTCTGTAAAACTTAATTTGACTTTCAATTTCTTATAAAAAAAAATACAAGAAAATTTATTTTTATTATAAAAGTGAATAATTTCCTTAAAAAAATTATTTTAATCAAATACATACTAAAAGAGAAATTCCCATTGTATATATTTTTTTTCACTCTAAATTTTACCACTTTTGTTTTTCTTCATATATTTTTAGGGACTCCAAAAATCGAATTTTAAAATGGGAAAATAAATGATTGAATTCCTAACAAAATATTGGAGATTCAAATGAGTGTCGTAAAGAGGCCGTCAGAATCCCAATATTCTTGGCTGTGTTCTGTCAACTTTTAGTCTCTTTGCTTAATAATTCTTTTCTTGAAACATGGAAAAGAAATAAACACATCGCTTTTGGCAAAGCACACTACTTCATTTGGTCGTAAATAAAAAGTAATCAACTTAACATAAAGGAAAACGTTTTTGTGTATCACATGGCGTGATATTTGTGATTTTTATTATAATTTATTGTGGTATTATTTATGAGTTGATTATGACTTAATTATTATGGTATTATTTATGATTTATTATGATATTCATCTTGACTTATTGTGATTTTTATTTTAATTATAATTGAAAATATCTTTTGTTATACTTCATGTAATATTTTATTATTACTCATTATTATTTATTTATTTTTAATTATAACTAAAAATAATTTAATTATGACATTTGTGATATTACCATAAATGTTAAGACTTCTATATATTGTACTCTTCAGTTTACATGTGTGTATTCTAGTGTATATTCGTATGGTTCTTAAAATTTTGCATTTTATGTTAATTTGACATTTTAAATTTTAATTTTAAAAATTTCAATTGAAATTAATTTGGTCTAATTTTAAATGAATTGTTCATATTATTAGAATAAATTACACTGATCTCCATAAGATTTGCAAAAAAAAAAAATATAAGTCTCACAGTTTTTACATAATTCAACCAATCTCTCATTTAGTAAGACTAGACCAGAACTAATATAAATGGTGTGACGATATAAAAGTAAATAAAATAAGTATATATTTTGAGTATAAAACTAATAAAAAAGGAGGTAAGTGCAATATGAATTAAAAACCAAAGGAAAACATAATTAATGTATTTTAGCCATCAACTTATGAAAAGGATATATAAAATACCTTTATATATAAGGAGGCATGTGGATTTGGGCGATATTATTTGTGTCTGTGGGACTCATTAGAGGTCCAACCTTAATCATGCAAACCATATTTTTTAGATCACAACAAACATATTTTCCATGAAAAAAAAGTAAGGTCGATTCAATAACCATAACTATGTTAGGTTATTGTATTTAGTTACAAAAAAAATGAACGCCAAATATTATTTAAAAATTAGACCATTCATATTTTGTGGGACAAATGTAATAAACTAACATATTATGGTTATCAGATTGACCTGATTTTTTTCATGAATAATCTATATATTATAATCTAAAAAATAAACAATTCGAATTATCAAGATGAGACCTGTGGTGAGCCCTACAGGCTCAAACAACACTATCTAGTCCTCTTTGTAGATTGGAGAGGAGTTGCCTTCTATATACAAATAAACCATAAATATTTTTGTCATTTTACTTGGAGGCAAAAATGACTATAGCCCCTTGTGTTTTACTCCATATACAATTTAACCTATGACATTTAAAAATGTGCACATAACTCCCTTTTGTAATCACACATGTTTTATACTAGTGTTAACTTAAATTAAATGTTTAATAGTCCATTTCTATTCACAAATCATAAGAAAATTATGTTATTACTTTTAAGTAATAAGAAGATAATCCATATATGGATCAAATCATAAAGTAAAATTCATCTTGTAAAGTAAATATTAGATATATGTTGTGGTATATACAAGGTTCTAAATGTACCGGCCGATTCGTGCCGGAAAATGGGAGGGCCGCGTCGGATACTCACCGGTATACCGGTGAGATTGGATTTCACGTCCGTATCGGCCGATTCATGGCACGTATCGGTCCGAATCCGATACATACGACGATACAGTCCGATACACGCCGGTACGGATGAAAATCAACGCAGAAAACCTGCAAGATCTAAGCTTCTTTGGGCTATGGAGTTCACTTTGATCTTCAAGCTTCTTCAAAGACGGTTTGTGTACCTAAGTTGCGTTTATGCTCTGTTTTTGGTGAGTTGTTGTGCTATGCTCTGTTTTAGTGCTGAATGTTTAGAGGTTTTTTCCCTCATTTTTCTTTTTTTATACACCTACAGGCTACACTACACCACCACTGTTTATATATATATATATATATATATATATTTCTACTGAGCAGAACAAGAGAAAAAAAATAAGAAAAATACATGTTCAATCCAATCTGTCAAAAGTTGGATTAGTGGAAAGGTTTGTTATTAGTTTTTATTATTTATTTATTTATTTATTTTGGTGCCATGTTTTTGTACTATATTTTTTTTATTTTTTTATTTGTGTCTTGCTTTGGTGTAGATGTTTAAGATTTAGAATTTTTTTTTAAAGAGGTTTATTCTAATTAGATTTTTATTTTTATTTTAAATATATTATTGTTACTAAGTAAATTAGAATTACAATATTTGTCAATTGAAAACTGTTATTGTAGATAATTAAAAGTTATAATTGAGACTAAAATAAATACATATCATTTAGTTGAAAATGAGTCAAAAGTGCTCTTACATATCAAAATTTTGATGAAAATGTGACAAATTAAGGCTAAAAGAGTAAAAAAAAAATGCTTAAAATTGAGTTTTAGAGGGATTGCTAATGATTTTTAAAATTTCACGGCCGCGACATCCGATTCCCGATACGTACCTACCGATACTACCGATACCGATACTCCGCAATCGATACCATTACGTTACTCAATACCGCGATTTAGCACTATGGGTATATATCACCCTCCAATAAGCAATCTTTCTTTTTGACAGGAATCATAACAATGTTAAAGCTAATAACAGACAAGACACCTACACTTATCCATTTACGACTTTTTACTGACTACTAATTTCACGTAATCAATAATCTGTTTTTCAAACAAACCATCAATAATCTCTTCTTATTTTTAACCATCAACTAATGAAGCTTATAAATAGGCAGTCCTTTAGCCCTCCTTTCCTACGAGTAATAAATCCACAACAAAAGAATTCCTACTCACATCATATCTAGAGTAAAGAAAGGTTTATGAAAATGGGGCATGACATCCTCTCTGAAGTTTACAATGCCGCGAAAAGCCAGAAACAGCAATCATTGATAGTGCTCTCCGACTTCTGCCGAGCAGGCCTAGCCACGGCACCACTCGACGAACGCCGCAACACCGTCCTCCATTTCATCGCCATCTACGGCAACGCGGTCGCCATTAAAAAGCTACTCCGAGAAGGCCTACTGACCATTGATGAGCTCAAGAAAGGCAATGCCAATGGCGAGACCACGCTGCATGAGGCAGTGAGGTACGGACGGATGGAGGTTGTGCAACCATTGATTGAGAAGGAAACAAGTCTGATATTCGAACGAAACAAGTCAGGAGAGACGCCTCTGTACCTTGCGGCCGCGCATGGAAATAGTGAGATTTTCTATTTTCTGTGCGAAAAGTTCCCTAGAGAATTCGTTATGTCAAGGAGAGGACAAGATGGCTACACTGTTCTTCATGCTGCTGTCTTTGCTGAACATTACGGTATGTCTTCTCTATCACTAATATTACAAATTCATGAATTTTTATCTCGAATTTCATTTAGAATTATTAATCTATGATTCATATTCATTTCATACATGTACCTTATACTACACTAATCAATACATCATTAGAAATTTTATATAAAAAAATGAAAAAAATAAAAAGTGCAATAGGATTTCTATTTCTCTATCTATATGTTGTATATTTTCATTGAATTAACGCCACTTCAAAGTGGTAAGTAATGTTGATTTTGAGTTTTATGGGACCCTCGTTAAACTCAGAAAATGACGAATTTTACATGAATAATATTAGAGATTATGAAAAAAATATCATGAAATATTTTATAAAGATTTTTCATCTCTTGATTAGTAGGTAGTGTTTTCTTATATGTCTAATCTAATGGTGAAAACCTTTTATGATCATTTCATGATATTTTTTCATAATACTTAACATTACTCATTTTACATATATATATATTTTATAAAAAGTTAATCAATAAAATAAGCAGTAAATTATTTGTTTATTTATTAGTGACAAAAAGTTTACTTGTACATAATTATTAAACAACAATGCCACATACTCTTAAAAAATATAACTTCCACAAGGTGATTGGTTTTAGGAAGAAAAGAAAAAGAATAAAAAAACAAAAACACATAATTAATCCATATTATTTTAAAGGTCATGAGGTCTCAACTTTAGAAGTGTCAAGCATTTTCGATCATTAAAATCATAAAGTAAAATTTACTAATATATATATATATATATATTTCAATTTAGCCCAACAATGATTATGTATGTTCAATTGGACTGAACAGGACTCTTTTTGGTATCCTTTAGACCCGCCTCAGTCAATTACAAAAGAAGACTGGGCCTCAATGTGAATTGATATTTGAATTTTTAATGCAGTATAATGGATTAATGAATTTGGGGTCCTATTTTGGGACAAATTTTGACGGCCCAAGGCACAAGCTTGCTTGTCTTATCCCAGGGCCGGCCCTGGTGATAAGGTTCACTCTTTGACCTAAAAATCAAAAAAAAAAAAATGTTAAAAAAAAGAAAAAAAAAAATCTCTCACACAAAAGTGTAAACAGTTCTAATAAATAATAAAAACTAAAACGTGGTTTGGGAGTAATTATAGAGACTCCTCATATCTATCATTCTTAAATTTACTTATAATGACATGATTTTGGTTGATTTCTAAACAAATTAATAAATAACCTGATGTTTTAGTGGTAATAAACATTTTTCATGTTATAATGGAAATATTAAATAGTATTATATTTATGTAGAGCAATGTTGCATGCACATAATTCATACACAAACAATAATCAAAATATTTACTATAAAACCACGTTAATTTAAGATGTGGGTCTCACTATATAAGAATTAAATCTTAACCACATTATTTTTCTAAGTAAAATTTTGTGCATGAATTTTCGGAATATATCTTTACTGATTTGTATATGATGTGTTGATGTGCCTTTTACATGAAATCATTGTGCGAGGGAGAAATTTCCTCGCACTATAAAGAGCAAGATAACCTGAGCAATCCTTTAAATTCCTGTAAAAGAGCACAACCGATGAGACATACCAGACCAAGGGCGTTCAGTTGCGGGAAATTATTTCATTATTTTGCCTTCTTTCCAAGATTCGTTTTATACCTTTTATACTGTTGAATATCATCACTAGATATGTGTTGTTTCCAATGGAATATTTTTTAGGGATATCTGTACCGCCATGTTGGTGCTTACAATTCTCTATGTGGCGTCCATGGTTTTAAATCGTAGTATCGGATAACGTATCGGTATCAATATCGATCAATATATATCAAGAATCGGGTGTCGTGATAGTGAAATTTTAAAAATCATTTCATAGGTTTTTTAGCTTTTTCTTTTCCGTACCAATCTGAACCGGTGAGTATCTGCCTGTCGTGGCTTATGTAACGGCTTGTGTAACGGTTACAGACCGATACGTACCGTGACTCGGCCGATTCTCTTGCGATTTTCAATCTCAACGGTATACCGGCTAGTATCCGTCACGGTGCCTTATTTTTTCGATACGTAGTGTATCAGCCGGTCACTGGCGCCGTTCACTGTTGAGATGTCAATCGAGACTGATTGGCAATATGTTGTTTCACAACCTCTACTACATTACTCGGCTGCTATACTCAAATCCTCGAGCCCTGTTGGTATTCTCAGTTTGATCATTTAAGTCGTTCAACTAGGCTTCCTTTGTTATTTCTCTTCTTGGGCCTTTTATCTTTAACCCAATCATGCTCTCCTTGGCCTAATCTAATTTGTGAATGACCCTCTCCGCCCCCCCCCCTCCCCCTCTCCTTTCCAATCTTTTATGCATTTCCCAAGCAAATCAAGAGTTCATTTTTTTCTTTCTCTCTTTACCTTAAGGATTCTGACTAGCCATGGGTCATGTTTTCTAATGCCAAGGCATTCTAATTTCCAATTTGTTCCAGTTTCCGCTTCCACCGCCATCATTTTTTTCCTTTTCAAGACCATGCATTGAGCAAAAGGCCACCGCTTTTGCACTGATTGCGTGTGTTGTCATCCCATTTGTTTCCTTTCAAATACTCGCAACTTCAAAATACGCATTTGTTTGGCTCCCTTACACTCATTCTTTAAACCCATTTCTGAGCTTCCATTTTTCGATCTATGAAGAACACTCTTTACCATTTGAGGAAGAGCTCTCTCGTCACTGTCTTTTATTGTCATCTCTTGCTTTCTTGTTGCTAGCTTATTTCTCCTTCGCTCCTTCTTAAGTTGCTCTTCTACCCTTTAAATTCTTTATACTCTTCATTCATTTACTTCACTCAATCATGAATCATCTTGTGGAGATGCTAAGCTCCAAAGAAAAATCATTGATAATTTTAGGACTTAGTTCCATATTCCTAACAATCTCGTTGTTCGTTTACCCCACGATGAAGACAATGTTGTTGAGAGAACTAAGGATAGTATACCCTCACCTTTAATCAACATTGTTGAAGGTGGTGTCATCTTTGCTTTAATCGACATTGTCCCATTGTGGATACTACTACCTTCCGGTGCACGCATACATTGGATTTGACCCTTTTAAGTTTATGAATCATCGAGGTCTAAATTGGCAATATATCGTAATATTTCTACAAACTAATCTAGCCCATAAATTGCCAAATAGAGACCGGTTCACAAAAAAATGGGAGTAGACACCTAATTTTTAAGGAAAACTAAGAAACCCTAACTCCATGTTAATTTAGGCCATTTATTCATTACAATCCAAAAATCTTGGTTCAAGAGTTTAGGTACGAAAGATGAAGGTCATTAATGTGAGCACTCTTTTCGGTCAATCAAGTGATTGACCTCTACTAATTCCTTGTAATGAGATTTAAATTCATATTTAATTTCACTTACTCATTTTATTTCACCTATTTCCTTCAAGCTAACTTACCTTTTTATGTGATGCATACAATATAGATTTGTACGAGAGAGAAATAATCGCCTCGTTCCGTACCTCCTTGCTACAAGCTCGGATCACTGCGACAACACACCGTCACATTGCAAACAGACAATGATGAGCTACTCGGCGGGGGGGTTTGCCGAAAAACCCCTCCGACGATTAAGTTAGCTTTCTGAGAGAAAAGAAAAGGCAAAGCACTCTAGAGAGAGAGTTTGAAATTGCTTACCTCCAACGTCTGCATGCTCCTCCTTTTCAAGGCTGGCCCATGCAGTACCTCCCTTCCCTGAGCAGGCGATTGTGCTCCCCTCTACATTTCTTACACATGTAGAGACCAAAACCACCAAACAGTGTTTGTCGCACAGCCAAACGGTATTAACGCATACCAGGAATGAATTCATCTCTTCTCGTCATTGGTCCACATGGAGTGGGCTATTACTTGAGAACCACAAATACTGCGTTGGCCACCTTAATGCCAAATCGGTTTGTAAGAATCGATTGAAAATGGGCACGCTGTTCAGCATCTCAGCTACACACCGTAATCTCACGGACCACCTCTGTCTCAACGATTGCAACCCGAACCATCTACTGCTCGGCCGCCACTTGGTTCCTGCTACCTAGAAACACGGTGCTGGAAAGCAGCTATTATTAAGAAAACAACTTTCCTTAGTCAATTGCCCTTGGCAATCTCATGGGCTTCATCCATTTAAGAATGACTCTTCTTAGTAATTGATTGCCCTTAGCAATCTCTTAGTGACAGGCTCTTCTTAGCCAATCAATTGCCTTTATCAATCTTCTTCTTCTTCTTTTTGTTTTAACAGTAGCTCTTGTTAGCCGATCAATCACCCTTGGATATTTCTTTTAGATAGAGATTTTTTTAATCAATCAATTGCCATTGTCAATCTCTTTTTAAGAGCAACTTTTCTTAGTCGATCAATCGTCTTTAGCAATCTCTTTTCAATTTTTTTAATAGCAACTCTGGTTAGCCAATCAATCACCCTTGGATATTTCTTTTAGATAGAGATTTTTTTTTAATCAATCAATTGCCATTGTCAATATCTTTTTAAGAGCAACTTTTCTTAGTCGATCAATCGCCTTTAGCAATCTCTTTTCAATAATGGCTTTTCTCAACTGATTAATTGCCATTGCCAATCTATTTTTAAGATTATCATTTCTTAGTTGATCCAATGACCTTAACAATCTCTTTTCAAGAGTGGTTTTTCTTAGCCAATCAATGCTTGAGCTAAAAGTTCTTTTCTCCAATCTTCAAGGGATCATTTCTCCATTGGATTTTATTTTGTACCCGACCTCATATCTTGTAGTCATGTCTCGATTTCTTCATCATAATAGCGTGATATGTGTTGCCTTACGCTCGTTCTTTCTTTCTCTCATTTAATGCCTTGAGTCCATTATTCCTTTAAAATATGTGTAATCGCCTTAAATGCTCAATATTTATCTATCTTTTTAAATTTTGATAACCACCTTTGGGCTTCATTCCTATTAATGCATTTGTGTATTTGTTCCAATTTTACCTTTCCTTCATCTGTACTTCGCAATTGTAGCTTAAATTCTTCAAGTGATTTCATGCATGCAAGTTCATTTTTCATTGTCTACTAAACTTTGATTGTAAGCGTTTCATTCCCTTCTTTGTTTTTTGGTTTCATTTTACTTTATAGGTACATCTCTTGTTTACTCATCGGTCACTATTCCCATTTCAGTAACTTGTTTTTTTGTTGAGGGGGTTCTTTTATGCCTGCAACTCATTTTTTGGATTCCTTTTGACATTAGTATTAGCCTGCCTCTACCTATTGATGACCTTTTTGTCGATCAGTGGGGACATGATGCCTTAGCCCCTTAAGACCATTACAAAAGGTAGGGTTCGGTTCCCTTTTCATCTGTTCCCTAATCTGCTTTTCGGTTGCAATTTTTTTTTTAATCATTATAGGATTCATTAAGTTCAATCTTTTATTCGATGTAAACATTAGGCTTGAGAATTGTAATACCACTATTGCCTATTACGTATAAAAGAGGGTAGTTATTATCTAAGTTCAAAATATCAAAACTGTCAGCTGGTTCATGTTCTTCTTAAGGTTTCATCTAGAACTAATGTAGATGTCATCTTGGTGACCAAATATTGCAAGCTCAAGGATGCCCCAGTTGGTGACAAAGGCATATGCATCCTAAAAATGCTCTGCGACGCATGTTTACCTTTAGTTTTAGTGGGGATTCATTGATTTTTTTGTTTTGAAAATCTATTCACCCTTACATTATAATATTTTATTTCCTTTCTGTAGGCAATTAACCTATAGCATGACGAGTGATGCGGTGTGAATTTAGCAAACCTCAAATATGTTTGGACTTTTCATGGGTGCTTCTGCTCGATCAACCGAAGCTCTTCTTCATCAAGTTCCTCAGCTAGTCCCCATCCTACCCTAGTCATGCTAGTATTAAGGAATGACTTGTTAATTGCACTGTGTGCGCTTCCATCCACTGTATCATCTGTGCCTGTTGATAGCATAGTTCTAAATTGCAGTATCGGGTAACGTAATGGTATCGATCACGGAGTGTCGGTAGTATTGGTCGGTATATATCGGGAATCGTGTATCACGGCCGTGAAATTTTAAAATATTAGCAATCCCTCTAAAAACTCAATTTTATGCATTTTTTTTTTTTTACTCTTTTACCCTTAATTTTTCACATTTTAATCAAAATTTTGATATGTAGGAGCACTTTTAACTCATTTTCAACTAAATGATATGTATTTATTTTAGTCTCAATTATAACTTTTAATTATCTACAATTTAAAATAATTCCACAGCAGTACACCATTTAGAGCCATGAGTTGGTTAAAGAAACATATGGGCCCAAGATTGCTCAAAACAACCCACCAACTGTCTTCAGCAAAATATCCTGGCCCAAAACTATCAACATACATTTATACAAAATATAAATATAAAAGATATACTCTGCGGCCACCCCATGTGCTGTAACATCATACCTAGCTTGCTGTAGCCCCAAAGATTCACTAATCAAGCTATTCGTATAGTTGAAAACACACTGTATGAAACAACATTGGAACCTGGTGATAACTCAAGCCTCAGCATCATTCTCAAGTCAATGGAAACTCGTATGAACCTGGTAAGTTGCACTTAACAGTGCACGACCCAGAAAAGCATTTTGAAACACACCGAAAGCCGTCAAAGGACAGCACGACCTCCTCGTGAACCTCATAGTTGCACTCTCACTTTAGCGAAGACCAGCAATCCAAAACCAGAAAAAGCATCTGAGCCACGAGCAGTTCTCTGCGTTGATTTTCATCCGTGTCAGCTACAATCAACTTGTATCAAACTATATCACCCTATGTATCAGATTCAGGCCGCTACGTACTGGGACTCAGACGCTACGACTGCTAATTTCATTCTCACCGCTATACTGGTCCATATCCGAATCAGTGCTCTGATTTGCCGGTATGAATCGTACCGGCTGATTAGATATATGGTTGATAGGTCACTTTCCTAGGGTTTTGTTTCATGCTTTTAGATTGACCTTTTAAATTTCTTCTTGAGAGGTTATCTCCTTGATTGCTCAACATTGAGGCTTCTCTGCTCATCTTTTGAGATTCTCTATTCCACAAGCATTGCCAAGTCTGTGTGGGAAAATTTTTCTTGCATTGTGGAGAGCAAGACGATCTGAACAAGCCCCTAAGTTCTTGCAAAACAGTGTAGCTGATTCGAGCTAATAAACTGAGGGTGTTTGGTTGAAAGGGGGCTCTGATGATCAAGTAAATTGTGCCTCTTCTAGAAAAATGTAGAATATGAAGTCTTCATGGTAATTTTTTTTCCTTTTTTAGGAGATTGTTTTGTACCTTTGCCTTCTTTTCACAATTCCTTTTATACTGTTGAATATTCTCATTAGATGTCATTTCCCAAGGAATATTTCTTTGGGAATATCTTAGCAGCCATGTTAATGTTGTTCACCGTCAATATGTCAATCGAGATTGATCGGCGATATGTTCTTTCACTACCGACACTGCATTACTTTTTCAAATCTTTGATAATTCTTGATCAGGAGTATTGTTCTTATTTCCCCATCAAGGCCTGTTGGTATTCTCTTCCCGATCATGGAAGATGTTCAACTGGACTTCCTTTGCCATATCTCTTGTTGAGCCTTTTATCTGTAACCCAATCTCGATCTTTTGGGCCTAAAATCCTATTTGCAATTTTTTTCATGGGCTCTCAACTTTGCATTAGAAAGCATGCTCAAAACGAAAAAGAAAAAATAAATAAAAACCTTTGCATTAGAAAGGGTAATTTACAGAAAGATTCCTTAAATTATTGAGAAATATTACTTGGACCCTTTAAATTATGAAAACGTACAAATAGATCTCTTAAACTTTTGAGATGTATCACTTTGTCCCCTAAACTATAAAAGCATACAAATCGACTCCCTAAATTATAAAAGTATCACAGGGAAAAAAAAAAAAAGGCTCTATAAAAGTGCACCAATTGAATCCCTAAACTATGAAAGTGTACCAATTGGACCCCCTAACAGAAAGGGTCAAAATAAAATATGCTAATAAGTTAGGAATTCATTTGTGCGATTTTATAGTTTAGGGAGTTAGAATGATACTTCTCAATTGAAAGTTTATTTGTACGCTTTTATAATTTACAAAATCAAAATGATACTTTTTATTAATTTAAGGAGTCTCCAACACTAGCAAATATATAGTATAAAAATTATTGTGGCTAAAACACTATCAGATGTTTCCCAATTGTAATCCTAAGACAAGGCATGTTTTAAGTAATTATTACCATTTCAGATCTCTCATGTGAAGTGAAGGACCAGTGACAAAACAATTCTTGTTTTTCTTTTGTGTTTTTGTTTTCGGAATTAGGTTTTGCTGTGCGCATACTGGAAGCATACCCTGAGCTCGCAAACACACGTGACCAAACCGGTGCGACAGCGTTGTGTCTCTTGGCCTCAAAACGAGCTTCCTTCATAAGCGGGACACCGTATAGCTTCAAAAATGTTGGGATCTGTCCCTTCGTTCCCTGGCAGCTTTGGTTGATTTTCCAATTTCTATGTAAGTGTTATGTTATTAAGTTCCATTTGACAACTTACTAAATCTTAAATTTTAAATTTTAAAATAGTCAAAAAGTCATTTACATCAAGGTTAAAAAAATTAAAAGTCATACGAAAAAAGTGAAAGAGTACTTCTAAATCTCTGTAATTTTTACATATTTTTCTGTGAAAGGTAAAAAAGGTCATTCTCAAACAATTCATTTGAGTTATTTTTTTATTTAATTTTTTCTACTTTATATTTTAATAAAAAATACTAAAAAAATCCACTTACCAAACCAACCTTTTTGTCAATCTCACCACAAACACATTAGTTGTGATAGATTCACGTAAAATAAAATTTTTACACCCAAGATCCTTGTTTGGTACATCGTTTGGAGAAAGAATTGGAGAGAATTGAGGTTAGTAATATCGTGTCCTGTGGTTCACATCGACCCACATGTTTTATGCTATCCGCTAATAACATATTTTATTTGGTAAAAATTAAGGTTGTAACTCGGACGAATTTTGACAGGTTGAGATGTTATCCAAACTCAGCCACAATTACGTTAAGAGCTGCCTAGATCTGACCAAATTTGAATTGTAACCTGAATCCGATCCGAGTTAAATTCAAATTTCCTAAATTGCCCATACATTTATGTTTATCCATTTTTATTTTTTATTTTTTATAGTGCAACGTAATTAATGAATTTGTTAAAATTAGTTTATTTACATTTTTTTTTTATAAAATCATTAACAAAGTCAAAACAAATAATTTATATAATGTAACAGAGTTGCCGCTATGGTGGTCTTTAAAATTTATGAGAGAAAAAAATTAAGGTAGCGTTTGATAGAGTTTTAGAAATATGATTTGAGAATATAATTGTATTTTGAGTTTGTAAGTTTTAAAATTATGATTTGAGTGTTGAAAATTTGTTTGGTTATGAATTTTAAAAATAGTTTTGAATTGAGTTTGAAATAATTGATATGACATATGAAATTTGATTCAAAAAACTTACAACTCATAACCAAACACATAACTTAAAATTCTATTCAAAGCTCACAAAAAAAATTTAAAAATTCAGGAATTTTTTTTTTATTTCATATATAAAAAAATAAAAGGTGTCAATTGTCCTCCAAAAAAAATTTTTTGCACTGTTCCGATCAACCGGCCAGACGACCAGGTAGGCCAAATTTCAAAATTCAAATCCTGCCTGAAAATGAGTTTTCAAAAGTGATGTGGAAATGTATTTTGAAAGGTCTATCCAAACACATAGCTCCAAATATGGTTTGGAATCAGAATTCATACTCCACACCAATATTTTGTGTTGTGGTACTTGTGTATATAATATATATTCAAAAAATATTTTACTTTAATATAATTACTTTACTATAATATATATTCAAAATATTACTTCAAAAAAATATAATATACATTTAATATGATCCAACGATCTAAATTACTATAATATAATCCAACAACTAAATATATATATATATATAATTCAGGTTTCGTATTACGTAGGATGTTTGATGTCATTGTCTAAACCCGTCCAAATTTGATTCTGGCCTTTAAATTTTTGCCAAAACCTTTAAAAAATTCAAGTTAGGCTCGAGTTGCTTGAGTTGAACCCATCCAAATTGCACCCTTAGTACAATGGATGAGATTGGTAGTGCATGGTATGGGTAATTGTATTTTTACACATAAATCCCTCCCATTCACACACTTTATTAATTTTTTAATACAATTTTATCCTAAAATGAAAACACCACAATACCCTTATCTTCTTTAACCCATTCCCTAATTCTAAAATACCACAGCCGTCCTACATCGCTAGCGCTACCACTCTCCTCCGCCATCCCCTCTTGTCGCATCTTTCCCTCTTTCATTTGCGACTACCTTCCGCTATGAACCATACACTCCCATAAATCCCCTCTGCAAACCACCAACTTTCGAGGTTGACTGTTGAGGATAAGTTAGAAGTGGCGGTAGCGGCGACAATGGAAGGTAAAGAGTAGTGGCAATGGCAACGACGGAAGGATGGATGAATGGAAAAAATAATAATAATTGAAATTCAAGGCAAAAGTATTATTGAAATAAAGAGATGTATATTAAAAAATTAATGTTTTTTTTATGTGTGTACTGAGAATGTGTTCATTAAATGTGTGGACTAAAACAAATTAGTATGTAAAAATAGAATTACCGATTATGCTACAAGCATCTCTTATAGTTAAATAGGTAAATGACTAATTGTTACTATATTTTAGCAATGAATAAAGACAATAAAATATTTTAGTAATGCTGAGATTGCTAGCGTATGGTTCTATAATAAGCATCTTCTATAGTTCAGTAGTTAATGACTAGTTGGTATATTTTAATAATGAGTAATGATAAAATACTACATTTTGAATCTAACACAACTGATGATAGAGGACATTTAGTAATTCTTCTTTTAGTAATACACATTTTAGTAATTCTTCTTGAGTTGCATCACAACAACTCTTTCTCCATCTATCTTCACAATTGTGATTCATTGTCAAACAAAGTCAATACGTCTGGAGTGTTCTTGCCAAGAGATTTACTTCTCTTTCAAGATCCCACATTTATCAATTGACGAATGAACTAAATCGAATTGTTAAGAAAGGATCCACAATCATATCAGATCAGCTTGCCTTGGCTTCATCACCTGTTGATGATGAAGATTTAGTCCTCTTGATCTTGAATGGACTACCTGAAGAATACAATGCTTTAAAAACCACCATACGAGCTACGTCCGAACCTATCTCAATGGATCAACTAAGTGCTTTACTTTGTTCAAAATCTATCCATGTGGAATCTACTCTCAAGCATACACATACTTCAGAAATTCCAGGTTCTTTTGCCTACGTTGCTCAAAGGAGTAGCTATTCTCATAGAGAAGGTTCTAAAGGCTCCTATAGGGGCAGAGGTGCTTTCAGACGCAAAGAGGGGGGTAGATTTCGAGGCTAGCATAGTCAGTTTCAGAGTCAGAGAAGAGGAAACACTCAATCTCAGAGAGGCAAAGCTACATCAGGCTACAATACACATAGTTACAACACAAACAGTCCTAATGTGACCTGTGGAATTTGTGGAAAAGGAAACCACACTACTCTAGATTGCTGGTACAGACTAGATGCAACTTTCCAGGCTCCATCTCATAACCATTACTCTAGTCCTTCATCCTCTACAAGTCATCTTAAGGCATATGATGCATCCAACACAGTTCCATCATCTGAAGCCAGCTGGTTTCTTGATTCTGGTGGTATAACTCACATGACACATGATCTGAATAATCTCTCTCTATATCAACCTTTTCATGGCTCAGATCAGGTGGCAATAGGTGATAAATACACACTTCTTATTGCTCATACTGGTAAAGGACTCCTTCCAACTCCCTCCTTTCCATTCCAACTTAATAAACTACTTCATGTTCCTACTCTTTCCTCAAATTTACCTTCCAACTCCCTCCTTTCCATTCTAACTTAATAAACTACTTCATGTTCCTACTCTTTCCTCAAATTTACTTTCAGTTCATCAATTGGCCTTGGACAACCATTGTACTATTACTTTTGATGAAGATTCTTTTATTATCCAGACAAGCATACTCAGAGAGTCCTGTATAGAGGCTACTATTCAAATGGACTATATCCATTCAATCCATTCTCTGATTCTGCTTCCTTCTCTTCTCAAGCTTGTCTCTCCTACTCCACTACTCCAGCTCCTCAAAATTGGCATTTTTGCCTTAGACATCCTTCAATTAAAATTTTTCATCACATCATTTCTCATCATCACTTAGGAACTACATCTTCATTGCTGTCTAATAAAGGCTCTAGTTTGTGTGAACATTGTTATGTGTCTAAGAGCCATAGGTTACCGTTTTGTTTGTCAAATTCTACTATAAATAAGCCTTTAGCTCTCATTCACACTAATGTTTGGGGCACCTTTTCTCTATCTATTTCAGGCCTTAAATACTATGTGTTGTTCATTGATGATTTTAGAAAATTTACTTGGCTCTTTCCTCTTCATTATAAGAGTGATGTTTTTTTCCAAATTTCTATAGTTAAAAGCTTTTGTTGAGACACAATTCTCTACTAACCTTCAAATTTTAAGGAGTGACAATGGGGGTGAATACTTAAGCACTCAATTTCAAGTTTTTCTTAAACAAAAAGGGATTGAACATTAGTTGACCTGTCCTCATACACCCTCTCAAAATGGTGTGGTTGAGAGAAAACATAGGCATCTCATTGAAACCACAATTACTATCATGCAATACTCTTCCCTTCCTTTAATCTACTGGTTTGATGCTTTTGCCACTGTAGTATTTTTGATTAACAAACATCGTACTCTCAAACTCTACAATCTTACCCCTTATGAGGTTCTGTTCAAACAAAAACCTGACTACCAATTCTTAAGATCTTTTGGATATAAGTGTTATCCTTGGCTCAAGCCATATACTACTCATAAACTCCAACCAAGATTCATCCCATGTGTTTTTATTGGCAATCAACCTTCTATTAAAGGGTATAGATGTCTTGGTTCTCAATCAAGTAAAGTTTACATCTCAAGACATGTAGTCTTTGATGGGTCTTGTTTCCCTTTCAAGGCTTCTTCTTCTATTTCATCTATAGTTTCTCAGTTGGTTAACTTTTTCTGGCTAGCTTCCCCTACTGCACCTTAGTCTCACTCTTCTTGTCCATTTTCTCTCTCATAACAGCCACTACAGCCTCCAACTCCTCTCATCTCTTCATCACCAGTTTCTTCACAACCACCAATTCCATCTTCAGTTGTTGTTCCTTAACAACCAGTTTCATCTCCAGTTGATGTTCCTCATCTTTCTACTAATCCTTCTACTCAAATTCCTATCTCCTCAATTTCTATCAATCTTCCTTGTGTTCTATCTACTACTCATTCCATGATTACTAGGTCTCAATCTAGAAGACTTCCTTGTTTTTCCACTTTTGTCTCTCTTTTTGCTTCCACTACTCCCTTTGAACCTCAAACCTATT